ATGATGTTCTTAAATCAATTAAACATTATTATATGTTTTATTTTATATGCAGTTTATTAGTTTAAGATACTGATACAGTAACGTTTATAAATTTATCAAACGTTGCAACTTGTTTTAAATTTTATATACGACGTAATTTTATTAGTTTGAGATACCTCTAGATGTTTCAATACCAATCAAAAACTGCTATCTATTTCAAAGTTTTTTTATTTATCGTGGTTTTATTTAGAGATGTTCCTACGTTATAATATTTTTCAAACAGTACTAGTTGTTTTAACTTTTATATTGGACATAGTTTGATGGAATTTCCTACAAGTGATGCAAAATCATGGAAATATGACTGTAAGGCTGTAACTCTTAATGTTTGTATTGCCTTGCAGTAATTATCTAACGTAAGAGTCAGTCTCATCCACTTTTCACACTTGTCAAAGCGAAAATGATGGGTTTTGGGCGGGGGGCGGAGGGCAGTGGGTTGTGGGTAATGATGAACAAGTGTTTGGGTTAGTTCAGGTAATCTGGAGAGCATAGGTTATAGAGAAGGTAAGAGCTTTACTTTCTATTTTTATAAACTCACATGGTTTGTTTTGTTTTCGTTTCCTTGCTTTTTGCAAGTGTGATATGATATTGGGATTGATGGGAATGGATCTATCTCTCGCTCTCTCTCCTCTCTTTCTCTCTCATAAATTTGCTTTTCAATTTTCAAGGTGTTTGGGTTTTAAGTTATTGAGAATTGTGTCGTTTGAAGGAGAGTTTTTTGGGGCAAGTGTTGTGTTAGGTTTTTGTGTTTATGGAAATTCTTTTTTAGTTTTGGGGAAATGGTATTGGTGCTGGTTTTAGCTTTAAAAAGGTTTGGGTGTTTTCTTGAAAATTGCTCTAAGTGATAAAGGCATTCTCTTAAAATGAAATTATTTATAGACTATTGTAATTTAACAGATTAAAAGTAATTTTATATTAATATTATAAAATATTATACCAGAAATATATGATGGCAAAGAGTTCATAAAAATCATACTTTTAAAAGAATTATTACATAAGAGATTCATAACTTTTTTTTCTCTGATGAAGATCGAGTTGTAGCTTCACTGTTTCAGCCTAGAGCTGCCTAGTACCCATCTATAGTGATTTGAGCCTTACTTTTGACTTTTTCCCAACAAGTAAAAATGAATTTGATTCATCAATCAAACGAAAAAATAAGAAGAATTGATTCCAAATAGGAGAAGCATTAGATGAGTAGTGTAAAGTGTTTTTTATTTTAGTGTGAAAGTTGGTCTCTAATTTGATTTGGGGAGGAGGATTGTCTGCCCTCCTAGTTTCAGTGCCCTTCCATGCCCTCCTGATTGTGTGGTCACGGTTAAGCCACGTTAATATTTTATATTACTATTTATTTTTATCTTATTATATCTATAAAAAAATAATATAAAATAATGATGTGGCTTAACCGTGACCACACAAAACAGGAGGGCATGGAAGAGCATTGAAACTAGGAGGGCAGACAATCCTCCTCCTTTGATTTGGATCTCATGATTTCAAGTAACGGAATAATGTTAGTTTCAACTTTTGAATTAAATTTCATGGTTCTAAATAACAGAGTGTGCAAAAAAATATTCTGTTTAAAATTAATTATGCATATTTAAAGTGTATTTTAAATTCTCATATATAAGAGAAAATCGAGTTTTTAAAACTCTAAACTTATTATAATAGAAAACAATCGATCTCTTAACCTAACCTAATCATTTTAACCCATTCTCCACTCAAACTAAACAATTAACCAAATTTGAGAGCTTATCTTGAAATTCTGCTCAAATAAAAAGAATGCAGCTCTTGCTAACAAAACATCAAACACGTTTCTAATTTCAGCAGCACCTTTAAGTTCGGTAGTTCTTGATCCATTTAGGCCACTATTTTGCTACTTCCGTGAATTTTATTCACTGAAATTTTTAACTTTAATCTTAATTATTGAAAACAGAGTTTAATAGCAAAAAACCTTGATGACACTTTCACTATTTCATCTAAGAAAAAGCAACGACAGGACATAACAACAACAAAAGAAGAACAGTAAATTAACATTAATTTTGGTAAATCATAGCATGCAAATATATAATATAAATGATGAGAAGTAAAATATCGCGGGAGTACGATTATTTTCCTTATTTTTTCTATTTTCTTCTATTTGAATAGTTAAGTCACGTTAACATCTCATATTAATTTTTTATACAAAGATAAAGATAAAATAAAAGAATGTAAGAGGAAGGGATGAAAGGAGATGAAAAGAAAAGAGTAGATAATCCTAATCCAATTTCGCGAGCAATGAGCAGAAGGAAAGCACTCTTACCAACATAAAGTTGACAGCAGCAGCAGGAGGACTGGACTAGAGGAAGAAGAAAGATGTAAAATGCACGCGACAAACACGGGGACGTGATATTTTAGGGTTTGCATTATATTTTTAGATATCACGATTACCATTTAGGTTATACTAATATACATCTGTTAAAAAAATATAATTATATAAAAAATTCCATCTAATCATCTTCAGTTAAGGGTTATATGTCATTTTCATCCTTCTCCAAATTAAGAGTAAAACAGAATTTGCTAAACAAAATCAAGCCTAAATTTAACCAAGATCAGACTACATATAGCAAGCCTCAAGCCCCTTGACCAGCCCTAACACGTGTATTTCAAGCCAAGATAACAAATTCACCTAACATGATTTGAGATGAAAAAGTTTAACCTACAATATTTGTATATTGATTTTTGAAGGGTAACCAGAAAGGCTGCGCTAGGTCTTTTATAAATGAAAATGACCTTAATTTTTAACAAAATTGTTAAAAATGACTCAAATATAAATTTTGAATTATCTTGTAACATTGACGATAATGAGAATCAGAACTCAGAAGAATAAAAGTTCTAGCATTTTATTTATTTATTATTCTATAAAAAGGAAACAAGAAGATAGGTGAAGTTTTTTGGTAAATTACTAAAGCGAAGTGATATTGAAATGATGTCATGAATGACAACTATCTTTTCAGAGGGAAGCAGCATTTAGTTTCTCTTAATTAAAAAAAAAACAAATGATTATTAGTCAAAACTCAAAAGCTTTCACTTTCAAGTGATTAATTTTTTTATTTCCCAAAGCTGATAGATTGATTATACACAAAGATAGTCTTCATGTTTTCGACATATTTTCGACGAGGAGTCGAGGACTTCTATATGACCTGATGAGCGATTGGTTACGTGATTTTTAATAGAGTTTCGGAGTATTTGATATTTTGAGTGTTACAACTATTAAATTTTTTTATTAGAAGTATAAAAATTAAAATCTAATGATTAAAACTTTTGGAGTATAATATATACTAAAGCACGATAAATATTTAGTTGGTCCAAACCTAACATACTGTTTTATGACCTATTATTAATGTTTTTACTCTGATATGATACTCACAAGTTTAGTTTATGATTGCAAAATCAAATTGAGAACATATTGTTTAACTGATTGTATATCCATTTTTTGTAATCAACACCAGAACTAGGTCACATAATTTAAGAGAGAAAATCCGATACACAACCGGGATACACTCCATATTTTGCCCTAGATTAGAGGTGCTGAAATCGATAGTCTTTTATTAAGATATTCAATTAAGGTGTTATAATATCCATGCATAGGCATAGCACAGATACAAACGTAGGAGTTTGACAGGAATAGTTTTATTATTTGTTCTTGGAAGAAGGGGTCGAACAATCGTGACGGGTACGTGCTGTTACTGTTAGTAAATTGGAAACCCAATGCCCGCAGATGTTTATGTTAATGTAGCAAACTAACAACAATTAACCCAGTTTTCTATAACTCTTTCCCCCAAAACAGAAAAAAAAAAAATAAATAAAGAATAGGGCTTTGTGTAATACGAGGGATGAGATGCCATAGCGCAATCTGGCAAATTTCTATGTCCACTGTCAGGACTCGGGCTCTCACTGCCTTGCATTCTTGTTGTAATCAAAGTTTTTGGCATATCATTAAACAAGAAGATTCTCAATGTATAAGAAACACGAGTTATTACTTCAAGTGTTATAACATAATTGGATGAATATTGAAAAATATATTTTCTCACCATTTATATTATAATACATGGTATATTGATATACCAACTTGTATTTTAGTTAAGTTAAACAATACCATCAGTCACCAATATTATACTAAACTATCAACCACCTTAAACTCATGCAGGCACTCACACTGATTGTGCACTCAATTTTTTGAAGCTGGACCACCAGAGTTTAAAGAGTTTGGGGTGGATTTAGGAGAGTCTAGGATTGCTTAGAGGGGTTACAAAAATTGTTTTACAGAGAAAGACCTGTCATATACTTTGTCAAGAAGTTCTTGGGCTTTTAATAAAAATGTTGACATTTTTCTATTAGCAGAATCAATGATGAATATAAGTGCTTCCTACAAAATCAATCCCCAACGAGCCTTGGTGGGAATAATCTGCAATGATAAAAGTCAAATTTCATTTATGTGTTTTTCGAGGGATGCGGTTTACAAACACTCGCTTAGTGGGCAAAATCTTAAGTGTAGCCGGAATATGTCCTCTCTGTCTCACATCCTCCCTCAATATACGATATGTCAAATCCATCCCTCCACCAATTGCAACAGTATGTGCCAACGAGGCCAAAAGAAACGTGCAAGGAATCTAGGAGCTAGTTTTTGTATGACCAAGATAAAGTAGTACAAACCAATTGCAGTAGCCCGTTTGAAATTATTGGTACAAAATCCACAACTTTTCACCTTTGTGTGCTCACACCAAAAAGATGGCTAATTTCTCAACTTTTGGTGCTTTTTTTCTCTGCTTTTTTACTGCCTTCATGGCTTTAATGAGAAAGCTATGATGCACCAGGGGAACAAGATGCAAAGTTACCATGAATGAGGGAACCTCAGGAGGAAAAAATGGAATACGATTCACAGCAATATTTCGGCAACCCTGTGAAGGAATTCAGTTCGCACTTCGAATAAAGCATGATTGCCAGGGAACAAAGATTTTGAATAAATTCAATGCTTTACAAATGTTTCAAAATGTATGTACAAAGTTGAGCCAGCTGTAGCTATATAAGCGCATGAACTGCGACCAATAAAACGTATGAACAAAGATATTATTCAAAGGCGCGTTACAGATTCTACACTACAGCCAATAAAACACATGAACTGCGACCATGAGCGACAAAATATACCTCACTGTACTATTGATAGAAAAACATGGGCATTGTAAAAGGTAGTGCTATATCTTGATTCTGAATAACGTAGAACAGCCTTTGCACCAGGGCCACAGAAAGTAAAACTGCAGATAATGCAATTAAGATAGTTCATTCAGATTTGGCAGACATGTAAAATGTATAAGAATTAATGGACTCAAACGAGTAAAAAGAACTTACATCAAATTATTGACACCGAGCATCGAAAGAGAAAAGACTTCTTTGCTCATCTGTTGGATTCAACAACCATCGGCAGAACATCCACGCCGCCCCAACCACTGATAGGAGTGATAGAACTGCTAGAAAGCCAAAATGTGACACGTCATTGGCGATTATTGCAATTCCCAACATTGTAAACTCTGCCAGACTAGCAACAGCAACTTCTGTTGTGCCGATAATATTTGCTTTGGACGATGGAATCCCAGTTTGAAGAATCTGTGCTGCCACAACATCGTATGACATGTGCCCCAGCCTTGATAATACCTGCATATAAAAAGGTACACAAAAATAAAGATACAATAAAATGTCCAAAAAGCACAACAAAACGCACTTGTTCCCCAATATTCTTTGTTCTCCAATATTCTTTCTAGTACATATAATTGCAAGTGGAGCATCTGCTAATACAAATGAAACGTTTACTTTGATGACTAGTCGATGCAGGCGGCAGTCACTACTGAAATCTCCTCAGAATAAGAAACCTCAACATTACTCAAATTTACAGATTTAGCAAAGCAATCTAAGAATCAACAATTCTGAAAAGAATCCATCGTCATGCTCTAAGATCCAACCTAATATCATAAGTCCCATTTCTAATCAAATCACTACTTGATTTTCTTAGCAGCTCATACGTAACTATCATCCAAATCCCAAACCTTGTTTAGAAAAAACAAGAATGATAAATTCTTACAATCAAACACAAGAAGAATAGAAGGGGCCTCTGCTGGGAGGAAGATCCACTACAATAAACAGCAACAGCAACGGTGAGAAGTGAAGCTTGAAATATTAATCCAGCTGCTCCTGCCTGGAAAAGAAGCTCCATTAGATATAGACAGACTATAATGTGATGATAATTATGCAAATTAGCCAACCTTTAAGATGCCAAGTCGCCTGACGAGGCTTGCAGACACAAATGTCGCTGCAACACCCATAAAAGCACATAGTCCACTAAAACCCCCAATAATAGATGGATTTAGACCTGTTGAACAATGTCACAGTATCTTGGAGTTAGAATTGGGCTTACAAAATATTTATATAGCCACAGCATAAGAGGCATATAAATGTCTATAAGAAAATCGATGATGAAGTCGTATTCACACTAAAGCATGATTTAAGCGATCTCCTTGTTTTGCCGACACTGTAGATGTAATAAACAATATGCATGAATCAGCAGGGTCAGTGACTACTAGATGTTGTGCTTGAAAACCTTTTCTCATCACAAATGAAATTTATTGTTATTAGCACGTGCATTAATTGGGAATATTTCAGGGTGGTGTGCTATTGGGTCCAACTCTCTTGGCCGAACTTCCTTATTTTCCCATCCATGTATTTCCTCCCCCTGATGAATAATGTTTACTCCTAAATGCATGTTGATTAGAGCCTGTTTTAACTGAGCCATTCGGTGCTTTCAGAACCTGTACCTTGAATTTATTGAAAACGAAGGTCTTTCATAAAATGCATGTAAAAGGCAACAAACTTCCAACCAAAAAATATAAGCCGAAAGGGCATGACAAGTACCACTTTGCGTTAAAAATGCTGTCATCAAACTGCCTGGAGTGAGTACAACATTAAAATAGAGCAGCACATATGCTAGGCTAGCAGGAAGAACTGGTTGCTGCATGTACTCCTTCCATCCAAGTTTAATAGCTGCCACACCTTTATCCACTGATTAAACAGAACCAGTTAGGAACTTAGGACAGTATCAGAAGTATCTTGCAGTTACAAAACCGGTGGTCAGACTTATTTGTATAAAGATAGAAGTACCAAATTTACCTATGTCGTTGGTATCAAACAGAGATACTTCAGTGGATGTTCTACAACAAGTTTGCGAACATTTTGGGCGGTCAAGAACCCCGCTAGAAAGCTTGTTGGTCAAACATGTGAGAACAATCTGAGGAATGGAAATTCCTAGTCAATAATAAAAGAGCATTTTTCAAGCAAAACATTGAAACAGAGTAAGGAGAAGAGAAATTACGGCAAAAGGCAACGACCACACCATCAAACCTCCCGAAAATTTCAAGCATGTTACTGGGTCATACTTTGATAGAAGAATGCCAAATAGGGATGCACCAGCAATCTGTAATTAATACAAAGTTATAAATCTCCTCAAGCTTCCCTAAACATTGTCATCCTTTTTATTTTAAGTTTTGACCTAAATTATCATCTACCAGATTTAATCTGAATATTATGTACAATAACCATAACCACATGCTGAAAATTTGTTTAAATCTAAGGAATATTTGCATATTAAATTTCAAATAAATGGGCACATATGTCACCATTGACATCATATGAAAAATCCACGCGTTATCATTAAAGAAATTTTTTTCATAAGATTAGAAAATACCTCACAAAGAAGATCAATTCGATAAAGAACAGCATTTGCTTGGGCAAGCGCAATAGGCCTGTTCACTCCTGCCAACTGTTTACGTGGGAATTCTAGTTTAGGCCAAAGATAACTTGGAAAGATAAAACTATGTGCGTGCACGTGTATGTATCGTAACGAAATGTCAAAATAGCAGTACCAGCACCACCCAATCACGCTCCATAGCGACCCCCAATGCGACACCAGATAGCCTCTCTACAGCCCCAGCTAGTACAAGTACAATGAACCAAGGGCGGTGAAGAAGGGATGACGCAGAAGGAGGAACACAATGCGCATGGATTATCATCGCTGCAGATAACAACTGAGCAGCTGCCTGAGAGAAAGAAAACAGTTAGAACACAGAAGTTTAGGATATTCATCCTGCACACATCTTTGGGTGCAATGCAAATCAAACTACTCACCTGGATAATATTAAGACAGTTACACGCAGGTACTCTGGGGAAATGATCCATAAGTGTGCCAACTAAGGGGCCTCCAGCAATTATCGCAAGCTGTTTAAAATGAATTTGATCTAGTTAGGAAGTGTAGTTTCCTACTGCTTTTTCCTATTACTTAATTTATCTCAATGGCAACCTTACTAAAGAAACCTATGAACGCCACCGGTAGAAGGCTTGGATATATCAATGCGATAGCAGAGGGCCAAGCGAAATTCCAAAATTGCTCCACTAAATTTCCAGCTAGACAACTAGCATAAAAAGCTGAAAAATTATGCCCGTCGGGTCAGAAATCACCACAAGGATTCCAAATCATTCACATCAACTATTTTATAATTCAAATGACACATCAAAGACAGCTTAGGAAGGACACATCACCATGCTTTACTTGGACCATTGAAGGAAGGCACTTACCATATAATCCCATTGGATGGGCTGGAGTAGCTGCAAGTGTATGTTGCTCCTCTTTTGATAAAACCTAAACAAAGGTAAAAAATGGCATGATAAATCTGACAAGACCTAACTGTAATGCAGTACTGAAGTGGTAATGAAAACGAAAAAGAAAAGGTTCATAGACCATCATGTAACTTACTGGCAGTGTCGTCAAAAGACAATCTACATAAGTATCTTCAGTTAGTAAACTCAAAGATTCAGTGTCCAGCATATCAACAATTGGGACCGAGCAACTAGAGCAACCAGGCTCTGCAATGGATGATTCCTCCTGGACCTCATTGTCAGTAGCCACGTGGCTGAAGTGTGCATCGGTGTTGGTTATTGAGCACCTTGAACTAAAACTGTCGAATCTGCTATCCAAGGAGCAGGAAAAGTAACGGGGTTAATAAACACATTTCCGTAGTTCTGTCAAGTCATGATCCATGGTTAGATTTTTTTTCACTTACTTTCCTCTAACTAGTTACTGACAATTCAAGATTCAAAGTGTTTTTTTACTACAATATTGCTATTGCTTTAGAATTTTTGAACTCAACTCTTAAAAGGTATCCAAAAATTTATTTTATGCAAACATAAAAAGAACCTTGATAGATACCATTAAATACAAGTCCCACTAAGATATAACAATCCAAAATTCAAACTTCCCACTAAGATATAACAATCCAAAATTCAAACTTTCTGCCCTTCTAGTTTATCTTATTTTCCCTTTTCATCCCATTTTCCTTCACTATTTATCAATCAAACAAGCTTGTCATTAACTTGATTACAACTTTGACTACCAATTGAAGTAAAAACTTTCAAAATTCCATAACATTCTTCCATTTTCTTTCACTTTCTCAGCAAAACCAAAAGACATACAAACACAAAGCACAAAGCTCACCTCTGAGAGCCCACAGATAGGTGCCTCAAACCCAACCACCTGCGAGAATCGATTCGATAGCGAATTCGAGAGGAAGGCCTTGGTTGCCTCGATAAAACAGAAGCACGGCAAGCAGAAAATAAGCTAGTAGATGAATTGGAGAGATAATACTGTGAGAGAGTAACCCCGCAACCGCAACCCAAAGCCATTGATTCTGCTGGCTCCAAAGCTTCAAATCCCAGTTGGGTTCTTGCCCACTCATGCAGACTCCACAACTAAGCTACCCTTTTGCTCAGTTTCTCAGTTTGCTCAGAGAATCCCAGAGGGCAACCTCAAGAATCTTAAAGTTTGGTTTTTTGGGGTTAATTGTTTCTGTGTTGTAGGGTTGTAATTCAAAAGAGAGGAACTTGGTGCAGATAAATCAAGATTTTTCTGATGTTTTGAGTTTGCCTTGCAGAATTGTTGACAATCCCAGATTGGTTCCTCTCAGACTCCATGAACTATGAATAAAAATTAGGATTTTAGGGGTGGAATTTTTGTGAGTAAATGGAAAGAGAGGGATTTGGTGATATAAAACTGACCATTTCAATTATTTTCTGGGGCATATTTTCTGTGGGTTTTAGCTTGGTTACATGGCCTTATCCATGTATGGTGTTTCCTGAGTCCCGCTTGGCGGACAGTTCAAAGTGGTATTTCTATACGTCTCATCTTTTGTGGCTCTAAAATTTCATGGGTGAAAAGAGTCTGAACTTTGAAGGTGTGTAGGGTTGAGGATTGCGGGCCATGAGTGTCTACGTGGACAAATAAATGGACACCTTGTCATGATGGATATCCAATTTTACACGTAAGCATTTGGAATATGAAGCAACTAATAAAAGAAGGATTTTTTTTTTTGACAAAAAATAAATAGAAGAAGGATTTGCCTTCGAGATTCCTTAGTGTATCCAAAACACGAGCTAGTACATTGCGTGTCATGATATAAGTGAAGAGATACTAAATTTTTTTTATTATGTCTCAATTTAGAGGGATGTATTCTATTGAGATTTTAAAGGATTTTAAAGAGTTTATAAAATTTGTGGAGTTTAATGGAGTATCATGGACTTTATGTGTATTTTAGGTGAATTCATTCAAATCTTAGGGTTTTTTTTTTTTTTTTGTGGGGGTTGGGTTGGAAGTCTGATTTTCCAAAGCTTAAACAACACCATAAAATCTGGCTTGTATTTTGTTTACATATAAAAATCTCTCTCTCCTCAAGAAGTCTTAGTTTTATGTGTTTTAAGTTTTTTAAGGTTAATACAAAGATGAGTCGTCAACTCATTACTTATCACATCATGAATTTTACAACAATGATTAGATGTCATGTGTTTTTAAGTTCTCGATTGAGATTTCAAAAATAGGAAAACGACCTACTATTAATGATGCTAATTGTCCACAACTTGCTTCTTACCACTTATTAGCCTAGCATGTTTTGATTTTTTTTAAAAGATATCGGTGAAATTAGGGTTGCATTTTGCACATGAAATGCGGAATAATTCCCTTGTTTTCACAGGGTTGGGAAGTAGAAAATTTCTTTTCTGTTTTCGATAATGCTTAAAAAGTAACAAGGAAATCTCATTTTATTGGGATATAAAATTTGACATTTTCAATTGTAAATTACTCATTCGAGAAGTCTATAAAAAATTAATCCCATTCCACTTTCATCACTTGCAAGTTGAATAAAAAATCCAAGTGAGTTTGGTATATGAAATAATCCTGTCTAAGATTTGAGAGGAAAAAAGTTAGGATTTCTAATGTTATTAATTATATTTGGAAAAAAAATGTTATTAATTATAAAAATTTGATAAATCCTACTCATTAGTGGAAATTGATGTAAAAAGTAAATTCTGATTTGCGAGATATTAATTTATATGAATTATTCATCTATCTTATCTTTTCATTAGTGGAAATTGATGTAAAAAGTAAATTCTGATTTGCAAGATGGTAGGTCGTCCTCCTTCAGTTCATGCTAAAAAAAATTGGATAAAATTCGATAAACCACATGGAATACAGTACTTGGTACAGAAGAATAAAGTAATGAGACATAAGAAGAATTAATTCATTAACAATACAAGGGCCTTTAATTTTAAATGTTATTTAGCTAAAAATCAATATTTTTTTTTACCAATTAGCCATGTATATATTAATGACCTATTTTTGTTTTAGGCCTAATCAACGGCTTATTTTTATTAATTAGACATATGTTAACGATGAATGCCATGTGGACTTTCAGTCATTATAGAACATGACGCTTTTATCCTTCTATCTCTCTCCACTCTGGAGGAATGAATGTGAGATCGTTGAGACCCTATCAACCATGAGTTCATGGTAAGGAGGGGTTACAAGTTAACTTTCTGGTTTTGCTATCGTTTCAAACCATACAATGTCGTGTATGTTTGACTATTCACATCTAATATTGTAACTTTTTATAGACCATTTGAATAATAAATTTCCTTAATTCGACGATAATAAATCAGATTATGTAACGCATAACCTAAATTTACAGATTCTACGTAACAAAAGTTGCAATGCAATTTTGAATCTGTATTGACCTATTTCTAAATATAGAAAATATGAGAAAGGAGGTGTTAGTTATCGTGGCTGCTAGCAGTAGTGATAATTTCGATAATTTCGTTTATTTTGAATTTGAGTATCACAATACATGATTGATCTTGTTATAATTAAAATAAATATTGTTGATACATTATTAATATTGTAGTTTTTTTATGGATTAATACAAAATCACCCTAATTTTAATTTGCTCGAAGGATTTTATTAAAGTGATTAATTTGGGTGCTTTTCTAGCCATCCATCTTGGTTTATGAAAGAAGCTGTATCTGTTAAAATCCTCACTTCCTGAGCCGTTTGGTTCTTCTCCCAGTTGATACGGTGTTCCCTGTTTGCTCCATCTCCTTTGCATTCCACCTCAGCAAACTCAATTGTACCCCTGCAGTTCCATATGTCAAAAGTAATTCACTAAATTGTGATTTTATTTATTTAGGGGGTGTAGTCAAATGAGGATCTTAAAGGATTTTAAAAGACTTTAGAATCATGATGTAGTCAACTAAGATTTTAAAAGATTTTTATAGAGCCCATGCAAATCTATAAAAAAATTCATTCAAATACAGGGGTAGTCAATTAAAGGATTTTAAAAGACTTTAGAATCATGATGTAATCAACTGAGATTTTAAAAGATTTTTATAGAGCCCATGCAAATCTATTGGTATTAAAAAATTCATAGATTTTGAAGGATTTCTTTCAATAAGAGATTTTGTAGGATTTGAGAAGTGATTATAAGCATAACAAAATCCTACCTTCACCCTTAGGATTTCTTTTCAACCCCCTCGTTCTTTCTTTCTTTCCATTCGACAACTCGATCTTTCTTTCTCACTCTCCATTTTCTTTCAGACATAGAACCTGCCAACCTGATTTCTTTTCACGTTCATCTATCATCTCCCCAGTTGCAAACTTGAATTTTTTGAATTTTTTATTTCCTTTATTTTGGAATGTGTAATAGTATTTCTTGTAATGCTTTGATGGGAAGTGTTAATAGCTACTAGCAGTTCTTGTAATGATTATGCGTTCTATTTGAATGTGTTAATTTTTTACCATGTTAATTGAACTCTTGGAAATTACTACTAAGAGTCTTATTGCCAATTCAAGCTTTCTGTTCTTTTTTGTGTAATCATGTTAGTGTAAGGGTGCAAACATCTTCCAAAGCCTATTTATATTGGTAACTGTACTTAGACTGAATAACACATTATGAACTAATCAATTCTTGAGGAAAAATGGTTAATTTTGAGACATTTGATTTAAGAAGCACTACTTGTTATGATTAGTTAAAATTATTTTTCGTAAAGAAATCACAATTCAAATGTGAAAGGGAAAGAAAAGACATATTTGATTGGTTTATATTTCCATATCAATATATATATATATATATATATATATATATATATGTTTATGTCTTTTTCAGATTGTGCATTAATAAAAGAATTTATGTTGTAGGAGTCAAAAGAGAAATCCATACAAATCTATAATAGAAATCCATAATAATTTGTCAAAATCCATATGGAATTGTAGAATCTATTGAAATCCTTTGAAATTTGTCACTTAAAAAAATCCATTAAAATCCTCTGAAATCTAAATTGACTACACCCCTTAAATTGATTACACCCCCTATTTTTATACAAATGATATTCTGTTGTATATTAATTTAAATTTCGAGAGAAGAGATTCAAACTCGGGTACATAGAGAGGAGCACATTCACTCTAACCAAAGTGGCTTAGCCTAGCCTCTAGACAAATCGATATTCTAAACAACCATAATCGACGGATTGGAGAAATCGACCTTAGATATAGATGAGCAACACCAACTAACCTAATTCAGTTCCCACATTCCATAGCTTAGGGTTTTTTTGTAGATAGGGTCTAGGGTTTAGACGTGGCTCATTGACTGGCCAACTAGCCTAACTCGAAGTCCAGTTATATTGTAATATTATCATTCAGAAAATCGACTGGGAGAATGAAAAAGGATTACAACTTACTCATGGCCTGCATTCCATGGATTACCCCAACCCTGTGGGGTGATAATATTGTCCATATCTGTCCGGTAAAACAATACTCTTGAATGAGTCCCATATGCCCTTCCCAGATTAGCAGGGCCACTTCCAGTAATATGGCAATCTTTGAATACAAACCCAGAGGGGTCGTCTGCTCCACCTCGACCATTGGCTGTAATATAGGCAGTTCCCCCTATTACGTCCGTTCGTGAAATTAGTGTGCATTTCTGCAAACAATTAATATTTAAGGTTAATTAATCAAAAGATCATGAGGAAAATAAAGAGCTTTAATTAGTTAATGAAAGGATTCAGGTTTTAATCACCTCATAAATTGATTGGCCATGGCCCCAAATGAAGTCTATAAGTCCTTCAATGGTGCAATCGTAGAAATAGTGACGACCTTTGGCATCACTCAATGTGTCTTGCAAGCTAGAAAAGCTACAGTGATAAAAACTTGCTTTATCTCCAGATACATCTAGGGCAACTGCCCATGTAGTGGTCTTCCTTTTTCCATTGGCATCCAATAGGTCAGTACCAATATTATCGTATGTATTCTGTTAAAGACAAATTTTTTTTTAACACAATTATGAATTAATTATAACCAAAATATGTAAGTAATGTTGAAGAGTTACATATCCAAGATAAGCCGAGCCGTATAATATTGATTTGCAACTAACTACCCAAGACATTAAAACGATTGCTTGTATATATGTGAAAATAAGTGTGTGAGATTTGTCACAACTCCACCCCAAGCCCTCAAGTTTGTAGGGCATAACGGCCCAACTGGTGGTTAGCGACCTTTATGTGTGGTACAATTAAAATATTATAAGTTTAAGCTAGGCTTGATATTTAACCTTGAAGATTATATTTCGTGCCACAAAATTATCTGCACGTGCTTTAAATGTAGGACTAGTGAGAATACTTCCACCGTCCGCATATTGGATCACAGGTTGGCGATCAGAGTCTCCTTCAATATAGATGTATGGTTTGTCTACTGCGATCTGAACTTTTTCACTACATACATAAAAGTAGCTAGCGGATTAGAGCAATGAATTAATACTACAGATTAGAAACAAAAACTGTACTGAACTTTGAGATGATAGTTTACTTACG